TCAACGGGTGGAAAACAGTAACCTTCATGAGAATTTATTTGTAAATTAATATAATTATTTTCTTGCATTCTCTAATTTTTTTCTCCATTATTCTTAATACTGAAAATATATGGTTATTTATTTTTGGTAAGAATAAATTTAATTCTAAAGATAATCCTTGTAAAAATTATAGAAATTATAGAAATAAACTTTTTTAAAATCTAATTGATTCTATTAATAATATTTTTATTTATTTAGAACATTAAGAATTTTGAATATTGTTTTATTATTATTAATGAAGAAGGAATTAGCTTCTGTAATTGATATTTATTTCTGCTGTAAAATGAATTTCATTAAATAATGTGATGCATTTTTTAGATATGTCTAAAGGAAAAGATATTTTCGTACTAAGTTTATAATTTCAGATAGGATGCCTCAACAGGCAATCCAATTTCAAATTTATTATTTTTTGTCCAATTTAAAAAAATATTCTTTTTAGTTAATTAGGCTTAGAATCTAATAATTTTAGGATGAAATGATTCTAACTATTCAAATTTTTTTTAGGCTTCACAAATTTTGTTCTTGTTTATGTCATCAGATTGGACTATTTTAGAATTAAATATATAAATTCATTAAAACATATAAATTCTTTTTTTACCAAATTCATCATCTAAATCAATCCATTTTCCAGTTTTAATGCCAAGATCCACTTAATCGTATGTTCCGCGCCCACTGATAAATTTTAATCATTTTGTGTAATATTTATATAAATGAAAATGTTTCGCTATCCTTCCTATACTAATCATAACTTGCTAAATTTTACTAAATTAGTCACTAAATTCAGTCCATGGATCAGTAAATTTATAAATGCAATGAAGCCAAATCAAATAATTATCATCTGTGGTTAATCTGATCACAAATAAACTTTCCCACTAATAGAATCTTCTAATAAATATGAATTTAATGAATACTCTAATCACTGCTTAATTAAAATTGAGTTTAAAATTTAACCTTCAACAAGATAATAATTCTACTATCACAAATTTAATATAATAGTAGCTATAAAAGAATTTGTGGATTTCCAACGCACTACAGAATTTCATATTAGAAATGTTGATTCCTCGGCTAGACTAAGTAATTGCTAAGCATACTAGGAGTAATTCAAAAAAATTTAGGAAGGTGGATTTCAATAATCTATATTTATAAATAGTGTTTTTGGACATAATAAATAATAATTCTAATAGTTTTTACATTAAATTTCTCCCAACAAATTTCGATAAATTGTTCCATTATTATAATACAATACATTCAATTTATAAGTTAAATTGTAAATTTTAGCATATTACAAATTTGAATTTTAGTATTGATATAATAGGTACTTTATATTTAGAAATGACTAATGAGAATTAAATTTGTATTATATTGAATAATAATAATAATTTGAATGTTCATATGGTAATCAAATTAGTATTTTGAGGGATAGTTGAACTTGTACATAAAGTTTTAGCGCTGTATGATGAGGTAAATAAAGTGGAAAGAAATTAAGAATTATTAAGATATTAACAAATTTGATTGTCTCAAACCTCCTTGTAAATCTAATAAGATCTGAATAAATAATGTGATAGAAATTAATTATACAATATTAAATAGATTTAAAACCATGCAATAAGTAATTTTCAAAAAAACAGTTTTTTATGAAATAGTGCGATATACTCAAGCAAAATGTGAATTGATTGATTTGAATTGTTTAAATAATTTTGCTCATATAACTCAAAATGAGAATACATCTCTCGATATTAAGATTAGGTAAATATACTCTTAAATTTCCTTTTTTTAAAAATTATGAATAATTTACTCTTATCTACGCAATATAAATAGGATGAATTCAAACATGAATTGTAGACTCAATATTTCTAAATGAAAATCAATGTATGAATTTCTCTTTTTATAAAATATCAAATTTCTCTTTTTATATAATATCAAAAATGTAATGCTTTTGTTTTAATAAAATAGATTTCATTTAGATAAATACTAATTAGATTATATGTTGTATGAAATAAATAAAATGAATTGATCAATTATACAATAAGGAAATTTCCACAATATTTCCAACCTTTATTTCTCTATTATAGTATATCTATTGCAGAAGAAAGTAAGTGTTGTTAGTACTAATTAAATATTGCTCTTCACTTGTTATATTTTGTTTTTATAATTAAATTGAAAGTTTAATGAATTTTTTAATGGATTCCTGACATTAAAAGGTTTGAGAGTAAATCTAATAACTTTAGCAGGAATGACAGATATTCATTTTAGATTGTATTAAGCCATTATGGTTGCATTAGACTTAAACATCAAGTTGAAAGTTATTTTGTTATCTAGTGAAAAACCCTATATATTATGAAAGTTCAATTTATAAGAATTCAAATGAAATGGGGATTGGAAGAAACATTGATGATCTAAAAATTTAATTGAGTTATAATTTGGTTATTTGTATAGGGTTTTAGACTAAAAATGATTTGATTCGTACTTCTGTTACATTCTCCATTATCTTTAAACCATTCCTCTGAGCAAATCTCACATTGGGTTTTTATAGGTCCAGGACATTTAACACAATGAGATGAGCATCTAAAAACATATAAGTTAAAGTTAAATATTGCCCAGAATGGATTTGATCCACTTAAAGATGTTGGAGCTATATAAATTTCTAATTCAGGATTCTGATGACTATAGGTAAAATCAACATTATAAATGCTTTCTTATTGAGATGAAGAACAGAATGAAATTGACCTAGCAGGAATAATAGTAAATGGATGAGAGATCCCATCAATCACAATGTTAAAAGTGGTAGAAACACTTGAAATATCAATCAGCCATATTTTGAATTTAATTTATACTTAATAATGTGGATCGAGGTTAATTTTAGTCTTTAATAAATCTGATCTCCCTAATTTTTAATATCCTCCAATTAGAGTTATGTTATCAAGACAAATTGTCGTTTAAACAGGCGAATTATTAGTTAAAAACCACCCATCAACATTAGGTTTATAAATCTAATTAAACTTGATACCCATTTCTGGTTAACATATGTCAGATGAAATTTAATTACAAAGAAGGCAATCAGGAATACATTTTAAAATATCAATAGTGAAATTATTAAATCCCCAGGATTCCTTAGGTTATAATAATATTTACATCTTGCCACCCATCTAAACCAGACTTCATTAAAATTAGTAATGTTTCAGAGTTATGTGTAGTTATGATTTCAACTTAAGATAAGTAATCTTGATAACTCTTTCCACATTAACTAAAACCTTAAGCACAACTAAATGTTTATTACCAAACTATATCATCAATTATGATATATTATACTTCATTATCCCAGCAGCCTAATCTAGAAAATGATAAATATTCCTTTTACTTCCAGAAATTTAAATTAATTCTTAGTTTATAATGAGGAGGGAGATAAAATAACTTTTAGACTGCTGTGCCACTCCCAAATGCAGCATATCCTCCAATAATTTATTATCCAGCACAACTTGCGATGTGGTCTTCAATCATTGCTCCTGTAACTACCCAAGCTATTTATGAATTGATTATATACATTCCTATTCAGTCATATTATCGTTCACAAAAGCAGTATAAAAGTTTTCCCAAACTGTTTGGCCAATCACAATTTTTAGAATAAATAATAGGATTAGCATAAAATAAATAAAATATTATTCAAATAACAATTTGATTAATATTATGTTCTTCATATGAGGAAATTAGCTTAAAAGTGTTCAATTTTAAGATGATCTATTTTTGCTTAATTAAAATTAAGGTAAACTTAAGTAATAACAAATTTTCTTGCGTGAATCATATTTTCCAGCATCATGCATTCAAAATAAATGAATTTAGAAGTAATGGGAAATCAATCTTCATCTTAAAATTTAATTTATATTAACACTTTCACATTTTGCTTTATAAATAAATCAGTACTTTATTAACAATCTGACTGAACATCCTCTCCGTCATCAATAGCATCTTAATATTATTAATATTCGGAGATTAATTCCTCTATGTTCAATGGCTTCTATAATTTCCATTTCATCCATCACTTGAAGATATATTAAAAAAAATTACCTTCCATTGTGTAAAAATTCAAGTAGGCCTGTTTTTAAACAGAAAGTTGAATTAATCAGAGGTATATCATAAAACGAGTACCTCATATTATTAGGAATCCATGACATTGCAGCAGAGACCACATGATTCCAATCGTTATATGTGGGGTTTATCAATTTTAAATTTCTGATTGAAGCTTATGGAAATTAATTTTAACAAGTCTATTATGGGGTTTTATTCTAAAATATTATCCAATTTAGAATCCTTATAACCGATCATATACTTCAGCTTCTTTTCTGACTACATCCAAGACTGAGTAAATTTACTTACACCTATAGTCTAAAGACCCTTCACCAAGTTGCTACCTGCTCTTGTTTTACCTAAAATAAAGTTGCCTGGCTAGCAGACTTACCTGCTCTTACTGCATCTATTAGACCTTATAAAGAAACAATTAAATTTATATGCACTTGATTCCAAGCTCAAAAAATAGCTCTTGGAAGGAATCTTTTCTATATTTCAATGAAATAGACCTCGATTTTTCTAATTGTAGGTCAGAGCCTCCATGATATATTCAATTTAAATCCAGGCCATGTTCATCTAACCTTGTTTCCAAAATTACGCCTTAATCTCAATACCGCATTAATTTGAATATGAATTAATACCCTAATTGTGTTAATATTTTTTTGACTTTTAATTCACTTTTGTTTTACAATATATTTCTTTCTATTTTAAATGATAATAATCTCTATCATTAATGAATGTACTGTTTTATGATTATTTAAATAATTAGGGAACTTATTTTAATTTAAGTCTTACATCATGAATTACATAGTATCAACTTTAATTTCAGACTAATACATTCAGAGAAAAACAATTAGAATATAAGAATGTTATAATCTTTAGAGAGTTTTTATAAAAATTATATTTCATTCTGATTTAAGAATAATCAGTTTTAATAGCAACATATAAAATTTTATAAAGAGATCACTCTTAAATTGGTATATCATTAAATTCCAATATATAATTGAAATTTCATTGAATTTCTATCTAATTGATCCTCTGGGTACACTTCCAATTCAAAATCATGAGTGCGATCTTCTCCAAAATCTTATGGATTCAATTTGCCCAAAGTTTGCCAAGCTTCAATGACTACATCTGGAATTGGACCTGGGCCACAATCAAAACGACAAAAACGATGAGCAGGAACTTACATGCTAACCATTCCTTCTGGTACATTAGTAACTTCACTTACCAATTCTCCAACAACAATTTTGTATTTCATTTCTAACCAATCCTATCCATCAGACAATTCAAAATATAAGCAATGAGTTCTCATTGGATGCAAACGATTTGGAATCTAATCATAGAGTTACTTTGAATAGTATTCATCAAAGGTTTTTCCAATCTGAGCTTTTAATGGATCCACTTCATCTTTTTGGATAATATTTCTTTAAATTCCTATTATTGTGAAAGAGTCTAATTAAACTAATCTTTCTGGATATTTAAGTGTTGGTCCATATTCCTTTATTATATATTTATAAATTTAATACTAATTTCAAATTCATTTTATTTTTAATAATTACAATTTATTTTCCTTTAATAATTCTGCTTATTAAAATCAAATGATAAATGAATTTTATAACTCAAAAATAATGCTTATAAATTTAAATTAAATTTTTTACAAAAATAAAGTTAACTTCTCAAAAAAATTATCAAATGAAACCAACAAAATAAATATTTAATGAAAATGACTTAGCAAAACAAGAATAAGATAAAGTTATATTAAATGTTTCTGGTTGGTAACCTACCAAAATTTCATAAGCCTTCCCTCTAACTAGAACTGATTATTCTATTATTTTTACTGAGGATCATGAGGTAATATACAAGCAATAGGGAAAATATCTAAAAATGTAATATTTTCTAAGAAATTAATTTTCAAATACTTAGTTATAAAGAGGAAGATTTTTAATATTCTGAAATTATCTACAATTTAGAAAGGCTCAATAAATTAGAGTGGAAGGGAAAGCATGATTAAAATCAATAAGAATTTTCGAAATAAAAAGCATTTTGGGATGGGGAACTAACAAAATTAGGAGGAGTTTGCACAAAATAGAGATTAAGGATAGGAATATGGGTGGAACCATGGGAAAACTATTGGAGGTAATTAATCATTCGTTATTATCAATTAGTGGATGTTAAGTCACTTTTGAAGGGTACTATGATGAAAATGGTCATAGAGTGGAAAAATGGAAATATAGGGATGAATCAAATGAAGAAATGTAAAATAGATAGTTTGTTTTTAGTGGTGGTGGTTATTTCCAAGATGATGGTTAAAAATCTGGTATTTGGAAAGAGTTGCAGGTAGCTTATAATGGAATGTAATTTAATTTAGATTACAATAGAAATAATCAATCAATATAAATTGGATAGTATAATAAAGGACTTAAATATGGGGAATGGATGACAATCTACAATAAAAAGATTATGTAATATAAAATATATAACTGTTTCTTAGTGGTGGAGGAATTTACAATGAGAAAGGTCATAAAGTTGGCATGTGGATCGAATAAGTTGATCATTTTTCGAAGTAGATTATTATTCCTAATGATATTAAATCAGCAATAATCAATCCACATTTATAGGAAAGTACAATACTATGGGAATGAAAATGGGATAATGGATAATAACTTGGTCTAAAAATGGATTCAATAAAAAAATGTAATATAAGAAATAATCCTAGAGGTGGAGGGTAATACGATGATTAAGGAAATAAAATTGGGAAATGGTTAGAGTAAATTGATGGATTTTGGAAGTTAAATCCTAATTTATATTATTTTAGCTTTAATTAAGCAACTCTGCACTATCCCCGTTTTACCTTGACGAGACCTCGTCCGCATCCGAGG